GTGTTCCAGTTAGACCACAAGGTGGTATTGATCCACCACAAATGGCTAATTCACTACTCAGCTCAGGATCTTACAATGCTCCAGTCTTATCAAGGAAAAATGATTACCACAGACTATAAAATTGAATTCATGAAGATAATCCCCAAGTACCATATATAATAAGTGTTCCCCAAGTTGTACCGAGACGTAAACACAAGAAACAAAAAGGCTTATCTAACACACACAGAGCAAAACAAATCAAAATAAATCTAATCATTTACCTATTTCTACAGAAACAATTGAATCTTGAAGCAAACTCCTTGGGTTCTTTTCACTGGTCACCCTAACCCAGTTTCTTGAGATAATTCCAGCTATATTTTCAGAGTTGTTGGGGAGATGTTGTTTTCTCAACTCAGGAATAGCAGCTCTTTGATCCAAGTGAACAAAGATTCTCACTTCTCTTTAACAGATTTAAATCTCATACATTCAACAAAAAGGGATGGGATGAGGGAATCTGACTTTTGTGTACAGTGGTGCTTAAAAGTTTGTGAATCCATTTCTAGCCATAAATAACCTTCCTACCTCTGCTAAGGAATGCGGTGAGGAAACAGAAAGCAAATGCTGAGCAAAAGCTTGATTTTATGCTTTTAGTTGTTTGAATAAACAGGAAAAAATTCTGCTATTTTTTTTTTGTACTTAGTTTCTATCGAATCCTGAGAACCCACAGGAAACCTCTGTGACCCAGCACATTTGGCATCCTCTACAATACTGTCAACAGGACAACAAAAAGGAAGCCCTACATCCTCGGCTGAGAATTTTAGGGCATAACAGCAGCCATCAAAAATGCCTTCTCTAGCGTTCCACCAGAAATAAATTCATGTGTTTCTAGACTTCTTTTCAAGTGTTTGGAGTGTTGGTAGGAACACTCAGGAAAGTTTTAACTTTCAGGAAAAGTTAAAACTCAACAAGCCTATTGTAATACTATGAGGATTGAAGCTGATGAAACAGGAGGGTCAGAAAGAATTGCTATGTAAACACAGAACAGATGTTAACTTTCAAAGCTGAGAAAGGAATGGCTAAGAATATGTTAATTTGAAAATATGACTGCAAAAATCTTAGGAATTAAGGTCTCTTTCTAATAGATGGCATAATTAAAAAGGTATATAGTCTTTAGGACAGATGGTCCTCAGTATACCAATAACTTCGAATTACAAATTGCAGAATATTGCCAAACAACACATATACCTTAAATTGGCATAGGGAGGATGAGGCAATATCCTAGAGAGCCTCCCGTGGAGCCAGAGATATGACAACAATGTATGCACCTCCACTTTAATAGGAATAAACACAACAATTCAACTATGCCCTATGAAAAAATAATAAGGTTTCAGTCATAACACCCATGCCCCATAGCATTAAAACCTTCTAAAAATCTAGATGATTAACTTCTGAATTTGTTAAAATCTACTGTAAATTTGACTGCAGTCATATAGAAAACATTTAATTAACCTTATAGAACAAGGTCATTAAAGTTATCTGGGAATAGAGAAATCATTTTGTTTTGGTGATTCTTCACTGTATATACAAAAGCTATACAGCAAAGTAAATTAAATTTAAGCATTATCCATAGCTAACCCTCTCTTCCTTACAGCTCCAGTAAGATTTCTCTTACCAGTATTGTCAGTGATTCCTCACAGTCCACTTTTAGCAACTGTTTCAAACCCAAGTCCTCCAAAAATCACTCCTAGAAAAATCTCTAGGGCACATATTGTACATTAAACTAGTTTTAGTAAAATATACATATTTTCAATTGTTTAAATTATTACTAGCATTTTTATTTTATTTTGTGCTCTTCCTTCTGAAGAAGCCTACAACAATGAACAAAAGAATACAATCTTTAATTTTAAAAAAATTATAATCACCAAATCCTGGACAAGACAATAACAATGCAAAAAATTAATCAAATTTATTTTAAGAAGTCTGTCTAAAAGGCAATTTCCTCCTGGAGCAGTTATTATCTTACAAATGCCTAACTGCTTCTGAAAAAACTACAGGCCTGATATCCTGCAACTGATTACTACAACCCAATAGTTCAGCAGTTAACCCTGTTATGGCCTTCAGACCATTAGCATGCTTGCCCAGCACTATTCCCACTTTCTATTTCATATCATAAGTGAGTAGAACTCCACTCACAGTCTGAAGCCACGGCATAATCTACTGCACATATGTAGAATATTCAGAAAAAAATTATCTAAGTGTTCTAGGTATGGTTCCAAATAACCCACTTCCTCCAGAGCCTTTTGGAACTGCAGGCCTACTACCTTCTCAACAACCTTTTACCCCCCATTTGGGGGAAGGCTGGAAACTGGAGTTTCTCTCAATCCCCGTAGGTAGTCCAGAGGGATACCATGGTCAATGGTATTGAAAGCCAGTGGAAGATATAGGAGGACCATCACCATCATCCTAGCTTCATCAGAGGTCATTGACAAGCATGATCAATTTTGCCTCAGTATTATACCCCAGTCTGTAACCTAACTGAAACATGCCCAGATAATCCATTTCCTTCCAGGCCCTTTCACAGCCTGACCACCTTTAAACAAATAAGGGAAGACTGGAGATTGACAAAAAATTGTCCAGTACTGCTGGGTCCAGGCATAGCCTCTTGAAAAAGGGGAAGGCTACCAACTCCTTTAAGGCAGGTGGAAATGGCCCCTCCAACAAGGAAGCATTCACTATCACTTGAATCCAGTTGTATTTCACTTCTCAGGAGGACTTGACCAGCCAGGAAGGGCATTGGTCTTATACACAGGTACCAGAGCTTACAGTCCCAAGGACCCTGTCCACTTTCTGAAAAGTCACCAGATCAAATTCAGCCCAGATAACCATAGGACCAGCATCGCTAGAGGTCAACTCTGAGTGAATCCTAACAATTTTTTTCAACAGATGCTTGGTACAATTCTCACAGTGGCCCTGCAAAGATTTCCCTAACCCCTTCCTTATCCAAAAAGGATCAGATCACCTGAAACAAGGTCACCAGGCGACTATCTGCAGGTACGATAGGGGTAGAGAAATAGGTATTTCTCACCACCCTTACCACCAGAAGGTAGTCCTTAATACAGGCTCTTACCTTGTCCGGTCAGAATCACTCTTATCTTCCACCAGAGGCAATCTAGGCATCTCTTATGCCACTTCATCTCCCAGAGTTCCTCTGAGAACCAGGGGGATATCTGGGCTCCACCTACATAGAGTCTACATAAATATCATCCAGTCCAAGTCTGCTGTCACTTGCTCATTCCAAGCAGTGACTAAGGCCTCAATTAAAGCATACACCAGAGCTTCTGGAACTACCCCAACTTTCCTTTGGAACTTCATTGGGTCTATCAGGCGGCTGGGGTGGACTAATTGAATAGGTTGTTCCCACTTGCAGCAGGGGGCAACCTGGAAAACTCCAAGGCTATCAGGGAGTGCTCCATCAGTTATTTTAAAATACAGTGATACCTCTTTTTGCAATGAAGTTTGCATGCAATTTCCACAGCAATTTATGTCATTTGCATTGGGACATCATCACACAAATTTGTCTTTTCTGTAATGAAAATGAAAATTTAAATGAAAATTTGAATGAAAAATTGTCATCTGTGTAAATCGTGAAAATGACATAAATTGACATGATATAATTTGCATCAATGCTCCTAATGATGTCATCATGCAACTGACAAAAATTGCCATGATGATGTACACTCTGACTTAATGAATAGACAGAATAACAGATACTCTTTCTTCAAGTGGGCTGTTAAACTAAGGTTTCACATTTACAGTATTTTTCCATCTATACGACGATACTTTTTTCTAAAATCGTTACACTAAAAATTGAAGGGCATCTTATGCAAGGAAGTAAGCTGAAGAGAGAACCACGCAGTACTCTTTCTTCAAGTGGGCTGTTAAACTAAGGTTTCACATTTACAGTATTTTTCCATCTATACGACGATACTTTTTTCTAAAATCGTTACACTAAAAATTGAAGGGCATCTTATGCAAGGAAGTAAGCTGAAGAGAGAACCACGCAGTTGTGAAACTGCCCATACTTTGTCTCTGCAAACAGGCTTCCTCCTATTACTAGCCTCCAATCATGAGTGAAATAGCTTGCCTCTGCAAACAGACTTCCTCCAATCACGAACCTTATGTAACTGACGTCAGCTGATGCTGAACAAA